TATGACGACCGTAAGCTCTCCTACAATCTTCATTAACCTGCATCTCTCGAAACCACGTGTTAGTTTGTACTGTACTGTTTTGTTCGCTTTGTTGCGTTTCTAACTGTTTGCGCTGTCATGTGTACCCGAGGGAAATTGTAAATATTCATTAAGATTGGTATCTGTCTGTTTTTTCACAAATAATATGAGAGAACCTTCAACCTGTCATAGGGTCAGAGAACAATTCATTCTCTTCTGTGTGCGTTTTAATTAAGATCGTGTCATCAAAATGTGTTTTTTTATTATTATCTCGTCATTCTATTACAGTATTTAACTCTAACATTTCGTCAACTTGATATTTCCGTCAGTTTGGACAGTGGCTCATTTTTAAACGATTTCATTACACGTACTATGATGTTGAAAAATTATGAAATGAGTAATAATTTAGCAGTTGTTGACGCTGTAACGATGGTACATACACATCTTAAAAGTGGGGTCACCCATGACGTCAGTTGTAACAGTATATAAACATGGTGAGTGTTTAACAAATGAAAATATTGGCAAGATGTATTGTGTACACTTTAAAAACATAGTTATGGATCATTTTGTATTGTGTGCTATTGATCTTAAAAAGGACACGTGGCTTTAAAACAATGCAAATATTACACGAACTTTCAACGGATGTTTTAGGAGATTATCAACTAGAAAGGTTTTGTTAACACAAACCTTCACTTATAACATCAGAACTTGGAGATCAAGTCAAGCTGAATGCATATCGACGGTGTTCCTTGTTTTTCTTCGTTCCCATATTTGGATCCCATAAATCACATTTAGCTCTACAGTTCTTCCAATTTAACTGACCAATCGTACCAGGCTAGGTCGGATTGGATCGAAAATCTCTTCCGTTCTGAACTGTTCAAATACAATTTATGGGGTACCGGAAACTGTAATACAAAGGAATGCTGGGAAAATTGCAGTTGATCTTGGGGTCGACCGTCGTTGCGTCTGTTGTGCAGATTTAAGCTTCTGGGGAATCAGCTGGAACGCTGTATGACAGCTAATATTCTGAGATAAGTAAGTAGGAGCGTTCACATTGATCGTTTCCCCAATATTTCTATACCAATATTAGTTTACGTTCTAAAATAAACTCCAAGTATGTGAAAAAATGTGATGTGAAGTAAAAATTGAGTTCAATAAGTCATATCCATGTGGTGTTAGTTGGGGCAGTTGCAGCAATATTCTTTACATGTATGTCGTACCTCATCAGCGCCGAGGTCCAATACAGTGTTTCCGATGTGATTGACGTTCCTTCGGACTGGGAATTAAATTTCAGACCGAACATCTCTACTCAACGTGAGTTGATATTGAGACTGGTCTGCGCGGGCAGTGTCGTTTAACGCTATGCATCCTTGTTTCGCCACCTTATCACTTCAGTAGCTGAGATTAGATTCTTTTTTCTCTTTTTTCAGAAAATTTGAAAAATTTCCAATTACTTATCGTCACATTTTCATCTATTCTCCTGACGGGTTAATATAACGTGGCAATCCCGCGCGTCGCACGTCACATTGGCAGCCGTGAGGACGTACAATGAATGCCATGTGCATAAACAGACAGGCTTGGCATTGACAGTTCCAAAAGTTTATAAACAATATGCTGACGTGAAATCACTTATCAAAACGTTACAATACTCATTTTATAAGATATGTTTTTGTTGAGAAGATAGACAATTAACTGGTGTTCAGGCAAAACGTCAACCTGACGATTATATATATACGACATGTACGATGGTGATTTGACAGTGTGTGAGACAGAATATTGCCTCTAATTAAATAGCGTAGCAGCGCTTTCGTCTGTTATTCAAAGAACCTAAACAAGGCTGTCATTGCTTTGCAAGTGATTTAAAACAAGCGAGATCCCATCTTGAGATTTTTCGCAAACTTGATTAGATCTGATCAACTAAAATCAGATATCAACATATCAACATGATATTGCTTTCATCCGTACAAGGTATCTTTTTGTATCTTCTATAAATTATTTTGATAACTGCAAGAGTTTTCAAAACAGTTTGATGACTTGTAACCGTCGATTTGTAATGGAAACCAAAGTAGATGATATATTGCTTTGTGATGCCATCTGAAATTGAAAGAAAATAAACAAAAGCTTAATTTCAAAATTTTGCAGAAAAGCAAAGCAAATAGCAAATATCTATTACACAAGCGAAAAATAGCGACAAGAGTCAAATCAAAAATATTTTAATATTATATGAATTGCAACATGACATCCTTATCATGTCTGGGAAACAGAAAAAATGGGGGGTGGGGGGTGTTTTGCCAGTGCTATACGCAGCAGGATACAGTGGCAGCAATGCTGAGAAATATTTTCATTGTCATATGACAGTCAACAGTCATTGTCATTAGTGGAAGGATACAGGGGGAAGTTGAGTGCAAATAAGTATAATATCAGTCCAAAAACGGACATCAGTTAAAAACCGAGAAAGACAGTCTATAAGCTTCCTAAGGAGAACATCAGTATTAGGGATGAAGTCCATGTCAAGGAGATCGTTTTAAAACATGTATTGTAAAGATTGTATCAATCAGTCGGAAAGAGGGCGTCGTTGTGGAGAAAGATATCAACTTAAAAGAATGCCAAGCACCGTTTAACATCTAGTTCACATCAACACGTACTACTTTTAATATCCCCTGGTAGCAGAATGTCGACGAAGAAATCGCCAATCACACTTTCAGAGAAGTATCCTCCTGGGAAAAATCAAAAGTACGAGCTGGTTCAATACTCTGTACAAGCGATTAGTATTGTGAGAGTACGTTAAGCCCTTTCGTGAGATACACAAGTTCGTGATTAGCATCGCAAAAAGCCTTTTTTGGTTTTTGAGATCTCCACGTGGTATTCTTTCGAATGTTTACTCATTTGTCCTTCTGGCCCAATTAGATATGTACATCCACGTTAACAAGTCAATATTGTGTTGACGTGACAAAAAACATTAATGACGTGACTACAATGTGTTGTTGGTGTGGCTCAATACATTGTTATGACCAGGGATATCCATTGTCTCAACCCAAGGATAAGACTAACAGGGTCAATTATAATGTATATTCATAGGTCTGGGAGAAAAGGAAAAATTCCGGCTCGGTGTTTTGACCCAGATTTAAGTATCAAAACGTGTAGTTTTTCCTGTCCAATGAACTTATTTTTCTTCCAGTTCTCGGAAGCGACTTTTAATGTCAAGCTTTGAATTGGCTACTCTATGGTACTCTACTGCTATGAAATATGAAGTAAGATATAACAAAATGTGGTGTACGCAGAAAAGGTACAGATAAACAACCATTTGTTCAACCTTTTTTCCGTTTGTATCTGAAGAGTAAAATCGGCAAAATCCATTGTTTCGAAGGAAACGGACGAATTTGATTGGTCCGTACTTAAAGATTTATAATAATTTCATCACTGCAGTGATGATATATATCAATTATATATCATCTGTAAAACTAGTGTGAGTCAAAGACAGAGTACTGTCAAAGACTTGACTGCACTGTACTGCATATATTTCCACCTTGTCATAGAATTAGTCAATTTTACGTTTTTGTCAGAAATACGTTTATCAGTCATACTTTATACGCGAGATTTGTACCAACTGATACTTTATCAATACGGAGGAAATTCATGTTCATGGTATTCAATATTTCAAAGTAGAGGTAACACAGATTATATGTCATCAAAACTTCACTCCGGTGTCAAGGATGTCGGTATTTTATAGTGTCATCATATTGAAATACCATCACCTGGATATGACAGCAGGGTAACCCATCTACTTACAAATACACTGAAAGGCAGGCATACCAGCTAAATGTCAACTAGAAAGCTGAAAGTACCGGTAGCATTTTGGTATACCTTTGTTTGTCTTTTCCCACTGACAAAACCGCGTCGTCAACAACCAAAAGCGCGGCATGCCGAGAAATGGTAAGAAAGAAAGAAAGAAAAACATTACGGGAAGACAATGAAAAATATCGATATCAATTCAGTCACATGTTACATTAAATGTTTAGAGACAGCAGGTTCAACCGACATGAGACTGCTGATTCTATTGCGTTGTCAGTGTGATCCATGACACACTTGATCTATGGTCTGTTTGATGCTTTTCTGTGAAACTTTAAGATAGATAATATTTGTTTTTATTATTCTTCATGAACTGGTTACTTGTCGTGAAGAGATTCGCCCGATCATATGTTTGCTTGATCAGGACAGATTCAACCAACTTCCTGGTGCACCGGAGCATGACTAGTTACAAACGAGACATGGTTAGGCAATGCAACAGAACTGCTATTATTTAACCTGACTTAAGAACACGTTTCCACTCCGTTCGTTGAGCGCAAAAATAAATAAATTATGAAATATTGTTATGTATTGTTTAAACACGTCGAGGTGTAGCTGCCTATTGTATTTTATGATGTTATTTCTTGACGTTTGCTGCTAACTTTATATGTTTTGGTTGTCAGACTACAGTGTGTGCGGGAGGATGTTGTAGGAGGTGGTACTGTTATGCTGTGTAGTGAAAGACCAACTACTGTCACTATCAGAACACAGAGCGCGCGACACTCTCGCGTCACGTAGTCAGAGCCGTGCACCCTCATAGCCACACAGACAGTTCATCACACACCAATCTCATATATATTACAAATCAATCTAGCTCGCAATTCAAACCAAACACTAACGTCTTGTACTTTTACAAACAGACTCTCAAGCTGGAGGGGATGGAACAGGATGTTTCCAAAGTAGGGGATCCTAACTGAGCGTGCCCTACCACCAAAGCCCAAAAGGCCCTGGAGTTTATCAGTCAAAAAGTAGCAGCATCGCTTTATTTCTTTCTCCGCTCGTACTATTGGCTGAGAGTTTGGCAGTTCGCTGTTGAGGGATGGATGAGTAGAACTCTTGTGGATAGTAACATTATCATTACCGGACATCCGGATAGAAACAATACAAATGTACTGTTGGGATAATATGTAACAAACATTTCGGACAGTTGGATATGTGTTGTTGGATTCCGGATACTGTCATTATTCTGTCAGCACTTTTCTTAGCAGTTATTGGTAAGTACAACTCTTTTTTTCCTGTTAATACGCATCAATGAATGTGATCGGCGAAGAAACTGTCACATGTGTTGTGTTGCAGGCCCTATATATCTAAACCTATAAGCATGTCTTTTAAACAGATCAATGTGCTTTATGTATCTTTACCTAGAGAAAAAGTTTCAGAAATTAATTGGTTAACGACATGATATTGAGGTATAGGAGTGTCCATTGTACTATGTAGCACTGATCAGCGTGTTTACTTCTAATATTACCAACGCCGATACCAGTGTTTACTTACGTCGGGAGTATTGTTGTATTACGTTTACAATGAAACAGGATTGGATGGCTTTCGTTAAATGGCAATGCTAACAGTTCGCAAGGAAACAGTTGGTAAATTCCTTACAAAAATACATGTAGGTGTGATTGACAAGAAGAGAGTATTGTACGAAATGTATTCAGCTAAAATAATATTTGTTTGTTATGTATGAACCTTTTAAGACTGGTTAGGATTTAAATAATTTGATATTTGTTAGCCTATTAACTCGACATTTGCTACATTATGTATATGTTCAAATCTTTGAAAATAATACAACCTTACATGTATGTATTTACAGCATTGTCCAGTTTACTTCTTTACACGGTATGGGTACTATTTGAAATGATTTCTTTCTTCTGGGAGTCCGTAACAATTGTATTGACGTGGTCTGGTTTTGTGGGTACTACTTAATTGATTTCATTCTTCTCGGAAGATCTTGATATTTTCATTTTTGAGGTTTGATTTGAGTTGTACTTTATGGTATCCTGCGATAGGTACATTTAGCATTATCTAACATAAAAAATATTTAATATGATACGGGTATAAGTGGATTAGGTTTACCTGTAATCTAAGATGTGTTCCTACAATCAATAAGCACCTGGCGATAACAATATTCCGACCTCCATGTGTATTTCATCCTTGTTATTGCTTAGGTTATCCCTAGTGTAGCACTAGACTTCAGTAAAATAGGAAGTGTTTTCTCTATGGGAAACTTAAGCCAATGATTTTACAAGTTATTAACGTTTTCGAGTTTTAGCCTGATAAACATTCGTTTTGTTTAAGAAGAAGAATTCATTCTGTAAAGTTATAAATAGAAACATTAAAACATTAGATTCGGTCCATATCCTAAGTTCATGGACGTGTATATTCTTGGGTGTAGAAAATCTGCACGCGTGTATTATGATTGTTTCAGCGTGTCAAGAACGTATACTTAAGGGCTTATGTCTCCAACTGATTAATATGACTAAACGTTCATACTTAGGTATTTTCGTGTAATAAGTACATACCTAAATAATATCTCTGTGTGACGAGTATCTACACTAAAATGTTCTTGCGTGACAAGTACCTATACACATTTTGTCGCAGTCTGACGAGTACCTAGAACACTATGTCTCCGTGTGACGAGTACCTACACACACTATGTCTCCGAGTGACGAGTACCTAGAACACTATGTCTCCATGTGACGAGTGCCTAGAACACTATGTCTCCGTGTGACGAGTACCTAGAACACTATGTCTCCGTGTGACGAGTGCCTAGAACACTATGTCTCCGTGTGACGAGTACCTACACACACTATGTCTCCGTGTGACGAGTACCTAGAACACTTTGTCTCCGTGTGACGAGTACCTAGAACACTATGTCTCCGTGTGACGAGTGCCTAGAACACTATGTCTCCGTGTGACGAGTACCTAGAACACTATGTCTCCGTGTGACGAGTGCCTAGAACACTATGTCTCCGTGTGACGAGTACCTAGAACACTATGTCTCCGTGTGACGAGTACCTAGAACACTATGTCTCCGTGTGACGAGTACCTAGAACACTATGTCTCCGTGTGACGAGTACCTAGAACACTTTGTCTCCGTGTGACGAGTACCTAGAACACTTTGTCTCCGTGTGACGAGTACCTAGAACACTTTGTCTCCGTGTGACGAGTACCTACATTGTACACACGCTATGTCTCCATGTGACGAGTACCTAGAACACTATGTCTCTGTTTGACAGGTATATAAACAAACGTTTTCCCACTTTGACGAGTACCTTCACACACGGTGTCTTTGTGTGAAGAGTACCAACAAGCACTATGTCTCTCTGTGACAAGTACCTACACATACTTTGTCCCCGTGTGACAAAGACCTACACACACTATGTCTCCTTGTGATAATTACTTACACACAGAGCTCTTTTGTGAGAAGTAACTCTACACATTATCGACCCCTTGTGACGATCACCTACACAAACTATGTATCAATTTGACGAATACCTACACACATTATTTCGCCGTGTGACGAATACTTGCACACAGTGTCCCAGGTGATGTGTACCTAAACAATGTATGTCCTCGTTGTGAAGAGTACCTGCACACTCTTAATTACCGAGTGACGAGTACCCCAATATTTAAACACACAACTGTATGCCCCCGTGTGACGAGTACCCCAATATTTAAACACACAACTGTATGCCCCCGTGTGACGAGTACCTACACACACTATGCCCCCGTGTGACGAGTACCTACATAATCATGTTTCCTCGTGTGGCGTGTTTTTCTTTTAAAAGAACGCAAAAGGACACTGCGTATGTCCTGTTTGTTGCAAAACGCATTCCCAAGGGAGACATCGAATTGATAACGGCAAAGTAAGATGTCCTGTCCGTAGCATTGGGAAATATGGGTTTTATGACCACCAAGAGCTCTATCTTCCAAGTCCATCAAAATAAAAAACCTTGTATACTTTGATCGTTTCCTATTTATAGATACAGGCGATGTCGGTAAGATATGGTTTATCTGTATTTGGATATTTCGTATAGATCGATTGAAGGTTTGAAGGAGACATGCACAGTCAAAAAGTAGGTGGATACGAGAATCCTTGTCGACGAATCCGATTATAAGTTGGACGGATTCCAGCGTAAATGATAATATTGGCGGTTGTCATTGTTAATGTCCTCCCTCGAAGAATAGTGAGGACCGTAACCTGCATTTAGCACCGAATAATTATGTGTTTGCGTAATAACTTCACGAAAAGTCAGATTGTTGTTGAAAAGTGAGGCGTTGCAGTGCTCTTCTCCATCTCGCACTCCTTAACAACCGCCATGATTGAATTAAGAGCGCCGAATTAACATTAATTAGTGGCGATGCAGTCGTCATATGCACCATATAAAAGTCCAACCCGGTATTAATTAACCAGCTTTATAATGAGTGCACTCCTATCATTGAATTTGTCGTTTAAGTAGTGTGTAATGCTATACCCCAAACCTATTGGACGAGTGGCCAAATTTGTTAACATGCGGTCTGGCATAGATAGCGGTTCGAAAATGAAATGATAATTCTGAAGTTTCAGGGCGTTGATGTCGGAATTATACAACAGAATTCCAAGATAACCCCAAATTATCTATAGAGAATTCCATAAATGAATTGACACATATCAAAGCGATCCGATAGTTTCTCGCTCCCAACATGTCACAAATAATTCATTGGTGTCACACCTTTCACATAGCACTTATCAAAGCCCACACAGTTGACTGATTATCTGATATACATGTATAATGCATTTCATCGAAAAAAAACTTTGAACAACAAATACAGTATTTGAAAAAAAAGTCCCAGTGGAACAAAAAACATCTACTTCAAAGATAACTAATCAATGTACTATTTTGTCATTTCCCCGAATATTAAATATTTTAAGTTTATTATTAAATTCGTATTCTGTCTTAGTTATAGACATTTCTACATCAAGAGTACGGAATGATTTTATAGGGTGTAATCGAGATACAAAAATTATCTATCTCAAAATGAATATTTTGCGTGTTAGATATACAGTAGAAAATAGCATTGACTAAGGCCAATTATCTCGACAAAGAATCATTTTAGCGATAAAACATAAAAACAAGTGTATAAAAACGTATGATACAATAAACACGATGTTTGTACGTCAATACACAGATTTAACATTCCCTACAAATAACTGCAACCCGTTATCACTACATATGACAGCTCGATACTGCATCTGTAACACATGGGCAATTACCAATAGGTTACTGCACGTATTAGCATGTTGTATATACAAAAATACGAGTTCTTATCACTAGGGCAAAACATACGGCTGTCAAATGTTACCAGTCACGAGAATTTATGGCTTTAGAATTGATTGTGGAAAATTCCATCCTCTTCATTAGAATGCACATGTTTCAAGAAATTAATAAGATATGTTATGTTTCTGTTTTAGTTAATATAAAAAATGAAAATTTTTCTCAAAATTTGAATGCTTTGTTTTCAAATGCTTTGTTTAATTTTGAACACATGCATCTCATCGATATGAATTGTGCAGCACAGTATACACTCAAGGTCATTCAGGCTTTACTCTTCAATTAATCATTATGATGAAATACAACAACTTAATGACTGTACTTGTATGTTTTGACGATCAATACAAACATCATTATGGATATTTGTAAAAGGGATTTCTGACAATGTTAGTGTCTGTTTACCTCCTAATAACATTGCTATTTGGACCGTGTACTATCAGTGTTATACTACAGTCCGACATTATCAATCCGCTCACATTTTACTAGGTTTCTATGCTGTAATATTTACTACAGAGATTTTATAGGAATCATATTTTCTTTCACTATTACATAATAAGGATACGAAGATTGTATCTGACTATAGGACTTGTATAACCGCCAGCAACATACGATTAATATCAGTAATTACACATTGATGATGACAACACCAGCGACATATTGTATATAGGAACACATTGTTGAATAAAAAAAAGTGTGTAACTTGAGTGTGTGATGATTTTAACCACTTACAGTCATAAGATATGTCCATAACTTGTATTTGGAGTTGCAGTTTCAACCTATATTTAATTACGCGTGCAGTACAATAATGTATTGTTTATATATCAGATTACTACTTCTGTAAACAGGTTACAATGGTGCTGCGTTGACAATAGCAGGTGCTACATAGAATCCAATTAAATGTT